AGTCCATGCCTATTTAAGAATTAAATAATAATTATTATTATTGTTATCATTATTATTGTTATTATTATTATTTTGTGGGGCTGGGGATTGAACCTAGAGCCTTCTGCATGTAGAGCAAGCACTTTACCAAATGAGCTATCTCCCCAGCCCAAGAATTTATGTTTTAAAACATAACGGACTGAAAGTGAAGACTTCAACTCTGGTGCCTATATAAAGCATTTGAGAAAAGACCTTTATCCTCTGCAAGATAAATAACTTTTAAGTCTGAGAAAAAAATTTGGGGATGTACAGGGGATTGAACCCAGGGGCACCTTACCAGTGAATTATATCCTGAGCCTTTTTTATTTTTTATTTTAAGACAGGGACATGCTGAGCTGATGAGGGTCTTGCTAAGTTGCTTAGGCTGACTTTCAACTTGTGATCTTCCCCTGCCTCGGCCTCTGGAATCACTGGGATTACAGGAGTGTTCCACTGTGCCTGGCTTAAGAGAAAAACTTTTTAAACATTGCATACTGGGCTTGTCTAACTTATTAGTAAATTGATATCAAAAGTGTCTTTTAAATCGTGATAATAATTTTTGAAGAAACTAGCTCAGCAAACATGTCAATAGGATTTGCATTACAGTAATCTTATGCATATGTATCAGTTTAAGGGTCAAAACCTTGATATTTTAAAGGCCACACTAAATCTTTCCAACAAGAGTTACATTAAGTAGAATAAATAAGAAGATAAACAGGTACCTTGTTTACCTGGAGTGAAGAGAGATGCAACAGCCATGAGTTAGACCAACTAGTTGGTCCTCTAATTCTTTTTTTCCCCCCACTAAGTTTTGCTATTCTGATTTTGAGCTGTTCCAAGAAATCTGATTGTCATCTAGCTTCTCAAGAACATGGTCCTCCAGGGAGATTCAAACACATGTACCAACATGACAATTATGTTCAACAGTAAAAATGACCTGCTGCATGCAGCCCCGGTGCAGGGCACTTTAAGATGTATTAAGTTGTTTAATCTGCATACCTAGGCAATGTATCATATTGAAGCCCCCCGCAAAATAATGTTGTCAACACTTAAAAGAATTTCTTGAAATAATCAAAATACAGCTGGCTTAGTATTGAATACAGGTTGCACATTATAGCTTTATTAAAAATACCGAAGGCCCGAGGACCATCTGGAAGGAAAAATGGGTATCTGTAGATTTCCTGAAAGATGAAAAGGCCCAAAAATTTCAGCAGATTTTCAAAGTTGTTTTTCTCTTAGAAGTCTTTAAGAACCCCTGGCTACTTTGAAGATGACATTATTTAATGGTAATACAGTTAAGCCTTGTTCACGGCCAAATAGCTTGACACATTTTAAGTCGCACTGACGTGGCTAATTATTTGATGGCGAGCCAGGCCTCATGCTCAAATCCCCAAACAAGATTCCTTTCTGCCCTCTGACATGATGCCATGGAAGGTGGGCAGCGCTGTCTACCTGGAGCATTCCAGCTCCCTACACACACGTAGCAAAGCCAGCGTGAAACCACACCCAGTGCTGGCCCATTTGGGGGTCACAGCCCTGGGCCACGTGCAGATAGACTCTACCCCTTCGATTGTGAACACTTGTTTGTTTGGTTCTTTTTGGAAATCGCACCTGCTAAATAGTCAAATTGCATGAACTTTTTTTTTAAGGGACAATGTAACAGATGTTTTCAGGTCCCTTTTGCTAGAAATAATCATTTTTTTACGTCACTCAGTACAGAAAAGCACACTATTTTCTCACTTCTTTCCCTTGCCAAATAGTTTTAAATAGTTATTTTAAAATTCAGAAATCTAACCTAATTTTAGGAATGTGTAGCTACAGAATCAACCACAGTCATTGGCACCCATAAATAATTATAGCAGTTGGCAGAAAAACTGACATTTAATTATAAATCTTTCAAGGGTGCTACAAAAATAACATTTCAAGATGCCTTGTAAAGAAAAGGAAGTCCTACTCTGTGATTATCTATTATTTCACAGTTAAATAAATTTTAACTGTTAAAAGATAATTTTACAGTTAAAAGATAAAGATAATTTTATGTCTTTTTTTTTTTTCCTTTGGTCACTTTCACTCAAGGTTCTAAATTTTTAGCTTCCATAGCCAAAATTCTAGTACAGAATATAATTCTAAATTAAAAATATATAGCATTAATGTTGTAGTCGAATGTAATGGCACATTCCTACTATCAGGTCTTTGGGAGGCCAAGGCAGGAGGATTGCAAGTTTGGGGCCAGCCTGGGCAATTAGCAAGATCCTGTCTCAAAGTGAAAAGCGCGAGGGGTGGGGGAGTGGAGCTCGTTGGTAGAGTCCTTGCATAGCATGCACAGGCCCTGGGTTCATGCTCCAGGAACACACACACACACACACACACACACACCCGTGTTCACAAATCCTTCCAATTGTCTTCTTTTCCCAGCACTCTAAGTAGACCACTGCTGCCAACACACATTCCTTCAGTTATTCGTCTGTAACCACTTTCTGGGTGTCACTCCAGCTGCGTGTACTAAGACTATGCCACAGTGATGTTGAGTGCACCATTTCCTCTACAGAGGGCTGATCTTACTCCCTGTGGAGTACTTGGTTTAATTGCCAGCTGTGGCGCTGAGCCTAGCCATTTGTAAATAAGCTGTAGCATGTCCATACTGATGTTAGGTTCCTACATAAGCAGACTCGGAGACATAAGTTGGTAACTAGCAGTTCCAGTCCCACTGCACATGCCTCTGGCTGCACCCAGTTGGTGGGAGGGATGGTGCATGGATGGTAGGTAGACCTCAGGCTTTAGTCAGGCAGGGCAGAGATGGAGCCCCTCTGCCACTTCTTTGCCTATGAGTTCAGTCATCGGCACAGGAACTGAGGGACACCCATCCAAAGACTCTGAACTCTTCATTTTTTTTCTCTTTTCTTTCTTCCCCTCCCT